GCCCCAACTACTCAGGAGGCTGAGGCAAGAAGATCACTTGAACCCAGGAGGTTAAGACTATAGTGAGCCATGTTTGTGCCACTGCACTCTAGCCTAGGTAACGTAAAATTAGCTGATTTGGAGAAAAGGGGAACACTAAAAAAAAAAAAAAAAAAAAATCCTGGCCATGTTGGTGTGCACCTTGGCCCCAACTACTCAGGAGGCTGAGGCAAGAAGATCACTTGAACCCAGGAGGTTAAGACTATAGTGAGCCATGTTTGTGCCACTGCACTCTAGCCTGGGCAACAGAGATAGACCCTGTCTTAAAAATTTTTTTAAATTCTCAAGTCAGTCATAATTCACTGGATTAAATGGGGGAGCCAGTGTAATTGAAGCTCAGGTACAGAAGTTTCCGGATAGCTGAACTCATGGAGGTGCCTGGAGGGTGGTGCACCTAGAGGGGACATGGAAGCTCCCTGAACCTTCCTCCATACCTTCCCTCATACCTTGCCCTACACATCTCTCCATCTGTGTCCTTTGTTTATAATAAACCGGTAACGTAAGGTACCAAGACAATAACTGGGGAAAGAATCTTCTTTTCAACAAACAGTGCTGAGACAACTGGATTTCCAGGTGCAGAAGAATGAATTTGCATTCCTTCCTGATACCATGTACAAAAAGTAACTAAAAATGGATCATAGACCTAAATGTAAGAGCTAAAATTATAAAATTCTTAGAAGAAAAATGTTAGTACATCTTAATGAACTTAGATTAGGCAAAGCCTTCTTAAATAACACACTAAATGCATAAGCAGCAAAAGATTAAATACTTGGCTGGGCGTGGTGGCTCACACCTGTAATCCTAGTACTTTGGGAGGCTGAGGCAGGAGGATCACTTGAGCTCGGGAGTTTGAGACCAGCCTGGGCAACATAGTGAGACCCTATCTCTATAGGATTTCGTCAAAATTCAAAACTTTTCTGCTTCAAAGGACACTATCAAGAAAGTGAAAAGATAGCCTACAAAATGGGAGAAAATATTGCAAATCATATCTAATACCTGTATCTAGAATACTCTTACAACTCAATTATAATCTGCTTAATATGAAATCAACATCATTACTATGCCGAGCTGATAAAATTTCAGCCTAAAGCAAAGATCTTGTTTAGTTCGCCAGTGCTATCTTAGAATCGGCTAACTTAGAAGAGGTTTTTGAAATAATATAACTAGCTTGTGTACTGGTTCATATTTGATTCAAGAAATGCTTGTTAAATGAATTCAAGGCCCTAGTAGGCTTCTAAAAGGAATGAAGGCACAGATCCTGTCCTTGGGGAAATAAGATGTGCCCAGGAATTTCTAATACAGGATAGACAATAAGTGGTACTATGGGAAAGGCATGTAGAGTGCTCTTGGAGTTTGGAGGAAAGAAGGAATTGATTCCAGTTTGGGGAATACTGCCATTGAAGAGATGGGTTTAAGATCGATTTTAAAGAACTTGGCCAGACCTGGTGGCTCATTCCTGTAATCCCAGTACTTTGGGAGGCCAAGGTGGGAGGATTGCTTGAAGCCAGGAGTTCAAAATCAGCCTGGGCAACATAGTGAGATCTTATTTGGAAAAAAAAAAAAATTTGGAGTAATTATGCACACTTCTTGCATTTTTATTTCCCTCTTGTGGGAAAAAGAAAGCATATAAAAATTTACCCAAATTGTACAAGGAGAGTTTTTCTTTTCTTTCAGTGTATATGTTAAGGAATGATTTATCATCAGGACTATCTCGGGTTAAGGCTTCTTCAGTGCTCACTGGATGTGTGATAGTATTTAAAGTCTGTCATTTTGACTTCGTAGGTCTGAACCTGAAAAATAGAAATAAAGTCTATTATGTAATTCAGGTCATTAGGAAATGGCTCACAATATTAAATTCATCACAGATAAATAATTACATTATTAATCCTTTTATCGAATTCAAAGCAGTGTTTCCCAGTGATTCTTAGCCTAATCATTAACAACATTCAAAAGTTCTTAAAGTCAGGGTGACTAGGAAGGCATCATCTTGAAATGGAAAGAGCACTGGACTTGGTAATCAGAGCTCACCTATTCTGATGCTTGACTCTCAGCTAGAGCAACTCAGTCCTGAAACTTCTCAACTATAAAACAAGTTGTTGAGATGATTTCTGAAGTCCTTTCTGCACCTCATATTCTGAGTCTGTGAACACTTATTTTTTTGGTTTCAATTAGAACTGTCAAATCTTTTGAAGTTTAATAATATTTCTCAGGCCAGGCATAGTAGCTAATGCCTGTAGTCCAGCACTCTGGGAGGCCAAGGAGGGAGGATCAATCTAGGACTTCAAGACTAGCCTGGGCAATAGGGTTAGACTTCATCTCTACAAAAAATAAAAATAAAAAAATAGCTGGGCATGGTGGTGCCCACTTGTGGTCCCAGCTACTCAGGAGGCTGAGCCAGGAGTATTGCTTGAGCCTGGGAGGTCGAGGCTGCAGTGAGCCGTGATCACACTGCTGCACTCCAGCCTGGGTAACAGAGCAAGACCCCATCTCAAATGATGAATGAATGAATGATGGTCTCGAGCTGTTTAACTTCACCTCTTTGCATATAAGATTGTGTAGTGGAGCTAGGCGTGTTGGCTAACGCCTGTAATCCCAGCACTTTGGGAAGCCAAGGCAGGTGGATCACCTGAGGTCAGGAGTTCGAGACCAGCCTGGCCAACATGGTGAAACCCCGTCTACTAAAAATACAAAAATTAGCCAGGCGTGGTAGCATGTGCCTGTAGTCCCAGCTACTTGGGAGGCTGAGGCAGGAGAATTACTTGAACCCAGAAGATGGAGGTTGCAGTGAGGTGAGGCAAGGCTGCACCATTGCACTCCAGCCTGGGCAAAAAGAGTGAAACTCCGTCTCAGAAAAACAAAACAAAAACAAAAAAAAGAAGATTGTGCAGTGTAGTTGTAAGATTGGAGGAGACCAAACTATTAAAGTGATTATTGACTGGGGAACTGGAGATGGTTGCCATACTTTCTCCTCACCAAGCCTCTTTCAGTTCCTTATTCACAATGAGCCACTTGTGGGTGTACTTAGTTCTCTTCAACTATGTTAGAGTGGATAAAGGTTTAGATTATTGCCGATTGTATTCATATGACCATTTACTATTCCAAGTCACTATATGCAGCTAAGCTTAGCAGTTGCTGAATATGAAGCACTGCCTTGAAGCCCTATAGATGGCGTTAGTTCCTGACTTCTTTTTAACATGTAAGATGCATCACATGTTCTTGTGCCAGAGAGGAACTAAAGGGGCAGCCATTTCACCCAGTGTAAGGTTGATTTCTCCTTAGGTGCTCCTGAAATCTAGAAGTATGACCTGAATCTTTGTCTACTCAGTACCCATTGTCAGCTCCATAGTTGTGGTATCTTGCTGTATGTTGATTTAGAGCCTGCTCAGCAAGTTGGCAAATACCAGCTATTTCTCATCAGAGTGTTCATGTTTTTTCTTTCCTCCTAAAGTGTGCCTCTTCACTGGCCAGTACTTACTAGGTATCCTCTGTGAATAAGGAAATAATCTGTCCTATCAAGACACTAATGAGCCTGTAGTCCCAGCTACTTGGGAGGCTGAGATAGGAGGATCCCTTGACACCAGGAGTTAGAAGCTATAATGAGCTATGATCATACTGCTGCACAGACCCTGTCTCTTTTTTTTTTCTTTTTCTTTTAAGGGGGGAGGTGACACTAATGAGAAAAATGGGACTACTGTGATGAATACAAATAAGCATATACTTGATAGAAAAATATAAATGTAGTTTTCTCATGGGATTGTGAAGGAGTAGCAAGGAGAAACATAATTTTTCTAGCTAAGAAGAAGGCCTTAAACCCTAGCTGTGAGAAGCTAAGTCCTGTACGATTTTGGATGGGCCTGGACTTTAGCAACAGCACGATGGTGTAGAGTAGTATGTGTGGTACAAGTGGTTGATTCTATCACTTATGCTTAGTAACTAAACAGGTCTAAGAAGTATTTCATTCAGCAAATGCTATATTTGCCAGTTAAACAATCTTTGATCAGTAAGTGATTTGGTTCTAAAAAATGCATTCAGGCTGAGGCTGTGTGGCACTTAATATACCTCAAGGCTAAAGAGTTTCCATTGTGCAAAAACCTGGTCCTCTTACTGCATGTGATGACTGTCCTGCGGCTTGAGTGGGAGAGTGCGTATTAACATGGTTTCACCAACTAAAGCTCCTGGCTCAGGCTTGCATTTCTCACCAAAGATTTTATTCTTGTATTGCTAATGTTGCATTTTTTCTTTCGTGAAACTAGATGATACACTTTTGTTCTAATATGTCTTCCCTCACAGTGCCACACATGAAAATGAGTCCTCTGAAAAGGACAGCCTGTAGTATAGTGTCTTCCATGCTTATGTTCTTAACTAAATCTCAACTTTGGGATGCATTCAAAGAAAAATACAAGACACATCTTTTTTACTGTGGGGTCTTCTCTCTGCAGGTGGAGCAGTTCTGGAGGTTTTATAGCCACATGGTACGTCCCGGGGACCTGACAGGCCACAGTGACTTCCATCTCTTCAAAGAAGGAATTAAACCCATGTGGGAGGTAAGGACTAATGGTCTCTGACTGCTTTTTTGAGCAAGTTTGGGTTTTTTTGTTTTGTCTCTTAGTCTACCAAGGTTAAAAGTATTTTAAAGTCTTCTCTCAAAACTGCATCACTCTCCAGTATATCCTTGGAACCTGAGCCTCTAGAGAAATGCACTGATGCCATTTTTTTGTCTGTGTGGGTTGGTGCTGGGTGTTTTTTAAAGACTGTTTTATGACTAAAATGGTATTAGAACATTAAAGGATTTTTGTTTTCAGTTACCTTTATCCCTATAGAACTTGTTTGTGTATGTGTGTAATATTTTTACATAGTACACATATGATTAAAGTGGGTAGGAAAATAAGCTTAAAGGCAGTAACTGAAGACCTAGAACTGTTTGCAGAGCCAGTATTCGACTGCGCCCTGGTGTAATGCATCTTCTATTCTGATGCCATGGCATTTTTTGAGTAGACACATGTGGTCACACCCACGCCGCCCAACTTACACAGCTCCTCATTGCTCACGTGATCTTGCATCTCATTTACCTTTCAAGCCTCATCTCCCATTATCTCTAAATCTTCCCTTCCTTGCAGGTGGACCCTCCTGTCAGTTTTTGCGCAGACGTGTTCTTTCCAGTGCCCGCAGTGCCCTTCACCTGCTTTTCCTGACTCACTCCTGTTGCCCTTAAGACCCACTTCTTGGCAGGCCTTGGTGGCTCATGCCTGTAATCCCAGTACTTTGGGAGGTCAAGGTGGACAGATTACCTGAGGTCAGGAGTTTGAGACCAGCCTGGCCAACATGGTGAAACCCCGTCTGTACTAAAAATACAAAAATTAGCCAGGTGTGGTGGCAGGCACCTGTAATCCCAGCTACTCGGGAGACTGAGACAGGAGAATCACTTGAACCCAGGAGGTGGAGGTTGCACTGAGCCGAGATTGCACCACTGCACTTCAGCCTGGGTGACACAGCAAGACTCCATCTCAAAAAAAAAAAAGACCCACTTCTTGACTGTTTCCAACTGTCTTGTTCTTTCTTAACATAGTGTGTATATCTGTTAACAGCAGCACTTATAATTACAGTAGCATTGCTGTAATTAATATCCTTGTCTGTCTGTTCTACTAGACTGGATCTAAGTAGCGACTGGGGCTTCAGCCAAGCACAGTGGCTCACTCCTGTAATCCCAGCACTTTGGGAGGCCGAGGTGGGCAGATCATGAGGTCAGGAGTTCGATACTACCCTGCCCAATATGGTGAAACCCTGTCTCTACTAAAAATACAACAATTAGCAGGGTATGGTGGCATGCGCCTGTAGTCCCAGCTACTCAGAAGACAGAGACTAGAGAATCACTTGAACCCGAGAGGCAGAAGTTGCAGTGAGCCGATATCATGCCACTGCACTCCAGACTGGGTGACAGAGGGAGACTCCGTCTCAAAAAAAAAAAAAAAAAACTAGATTGGGGCTTCATGACTGTGTACTTGATATGTAGTTACACTCAGTATTTTTTTTTTTTTTTGAGACAAAGTCTTGTTCTGTTGCCCGGGCTGGAGTGCAGTGGTGCCATCTCAGCTCACTGCAAGCTCTGCCTCCAAAGTTTACGCCATTCTCCCGCCTCAGCCTCCCGAGTACCTAGGACTACAGGCACCCGCCACCACGCCCAGCTAATTTTGTTTCTGTATTTTTAGTAGAGATGCGATTTCACCATGTCAGCCTGGCTAGTCTAGATCTCCTGACCTTGTGATTCGCCCGCCTCGGCCTCCCAAAGTGCTGGTATTACAGGCGTGAGCCACCACGCCCAGCAGACACTCAGTACTTTTAGCAAGTGAAGGGATGATCCGTGCTTGAAATATGACATAATTTCATTTTGATTCCTAAAGTATTTCCAGTAAAGGGGATTATTTTTAAAAGGTCTGTTAAGCCATTTTAATATATGGCTTATGCCAAGGATCCCAGCCATGTTTTTCTTTTTTTCCCCATTTCTTCTCTCCGTAGTCCTACCATCAGTTTTTCTATAGAGTTGAATAATTGGAAAATGATATGACTTCTTAGTGTTTAAGAGATTATTGGCTTTTTACTGCCTTCATACAAAAAAAAAAAAAAACACTGTGAAACCGTATTTTAACTTCAGTGCTTTCTGTCTTTTTACAGGATGATGCAAATAAAAATGGTGGCAAGTGGATTATTCGGCTGCGGAAGGGCTTGGCCTCCCGTTGCTGGGAGAATCTCATTTTGGCCATGCTGGGGGAACAGTTCATGGTTGGGGAGGAGATCTGTGGGGCTGTGGTGTCTGTCCGCTTTCAGGTAAGCCACCCATGGGCCAGTCTGGTTTCTTGTGTTGCCTTTGCTCTCCTCGCTGCCTCTGATTTGCTTTGATGATTCCTTGTGTTCCTCTGATAGGAGGACATTATTTCAATATGGAATAAGACTGCCAGTGACCAAGCAACCACAGCCCGAATCCGGGACACACTTCGGCGAGTGCTTAACCTACCTCCCAACACCATTATGGAATACAAAACTCACACCGACAGCATCAAGTACGTGTTGGGGGGTTACGGGAGGATGTGTCCCTAAGCTTAGCAGAAGTAGATCTGTAGTTGGGCCCAGAGGAATATGACCGGACAGGAGACTTACTTGTGGAGAAGGGACAGACCAGGCCTTCCCTCCAGGGCTTCTGGCTACTTGCTTCAGTTCTTTGTCAGCGAGGCTCCCTGCCACCTATACTACCAGGTGCTTTGTAGCAGAGAGAGCCTGTCTGCAGAAACCCAGTTGCACTGCCTGGGCTTGCTTAATTTCTACAGGCTGTCCTGTCTTTCATATTCTAACCACTATCTTAAAATGAAAGACAAGTGCTTTTCTTTTTCTTGCTGTTTTTTAAGATAATTTCACCTTGCCCACCCTCACCCCACTTCTGCATGTCTTTTTAACTTGTTAGCTTCAGTCTGTTTTCTTTGTCCTGGGATACTGACTACTTATCAGGAATGACTCCATTTCCTTGTGTATAGAGCTGACTCATAGAAGAAGGAGGATAGTGTGTGTGTGAGAGAGCAGAATCAAAGGGAAGCATGATGGCCACAGGGAAAATAAGCTTTGCAGTCTCCCTAGGACTCAGGGAAATAGAGCTTTCTGTCTACAGTGAGAATCACTGTTAGGCTTGCTCCTTCTGTGATTGAGTGTCAGAAGTAAGCTCAGGCTATTGTGAAAAAGTGTGGGGAGTGGCTGTCAGATTGTCTCAAAGCTGGAGGGAGAGCTAGCCAGCTAAGAGTTAGGACTCTTAGGTTTAGTTCTGTCCTATGGCCCCGTACCAATATGTGCCTTTGACAAGCGTCTTTGCAACTTTGCTTCAGTTTCTCCATCTGTAAAGTGGGAGACAGTACTTTATCTAACAAGGCTATTGTGAGGCTGATTTAATCTTTAACTGAGGGTCCTCAGATGGAGAATACTCTTACAGGGCCACGTAGTAGTATTGCTATCATCATCATCATCATTAGTAAGAATATCATCATGTTGTTATTATTGAAGACTAGTAGTGAGCCCAGCGATTATGTTCAGCAGACAGACCGTTTGGGAATCTCTTTCCCATGCATTCACAGATAATGTTATGAGTGGAGTTGGCTTAAACCAGCTAAGTACCAGTTTTTAAGTGGGAACTTCCACTGCTATGGGAGTTGGTCCGTGATCAAACGGCTGGCATGACTCATCATAGTCACCAACAGTTATTAGCCAGCCTTGGCCCTGGTTGCTTGCCTTAGCAGTCCGGTGTTAGCATTGTTTTTCTCTAGGCACATTTTTCTTATTCTCTGTTCTGGGATAGAAGTAGTTTCTGACCTCTAGCCTCATTCAGTCCAGGCTGGAGAGATCTATACCTTTTTCTAGGATTCTTGTTTTCAAGGTTTCTAAATATCCCCCACTCCCACTCACCCCCAAAATAAGTTTTCCACCTGGATAAGAGAGGGAAAGAGGTATTTTTCATCAGTTCTCCCCTTCTCTGCTGTTCTCCCTTTCTAATACCATAAGGCAGTTCTTTGTGACTTTTATAGATATATATGTACATGTCCTGACAGAGTTTAGGAGAGCCTGTGGGCTTTTTGCCTTAGTCTGCTAGAAAGACTGGCCTGCTGCTCCCTGCTTTATCCAGAGGTCTGCCTCTGGGACTTCAGCCCTATAGCTGTAGAGACCAGAAAACCAGCCCTCTTTGAGACACAGATGCTACTTTCCCTTGCGTCCCCCTCTCTTTCCTTTCCCAATGAGCCAACCTTTTGCACTTCCACTAGAATGCCAGGCAGGCTGGGCCCCCAAAGGCTCCTTTTTCAAAACCTCTGGAAGCCGCGGTTGAATGTGCCATGACCCTCTCCCTCTCTGGATGGCACCATCATTGAAGCTGGCGTCATCGGAGTCTCTTGTTCTGTTGGCGTGCTACCTGGAAGATCCTTCTGTCCTGGACAAGAGGAATTGGAAGAGCATTTTATGTTTTAAGAACAGGCTGACACAGCAGCTACAACAACAGCTGAGATCACTTAATAAATGGTGCTAAACTAGCTTGTCTCATGCTCTTGCTCTTTATGGTGCATCAAAGATGTGGCCTTTCGGACTGACTGTCACCATATTAAGGGATGGCACATACTTTTCCATGGAGGGCCATCCGGGGAATGCAGCCTCATTTCCATAAGCCCATTGTATAGTGTCATGTGGTATTTTGTTCCAGGACTGCTGAGGCCTGACATAATAAGGTGACATCTAGCTTTCAAAATAAGACCCTATTTTCTGGTACTTAAATTTGAGGTCCCATCTAGTCATGCCGATGACCAGAACAGAGTGATTTCTGATACAGAATTCAGCTTGAAAGTCTGTTCAGGTTGGAAAGGGGGATCCTTGGCCTTTGCTTCGCTGACTTCCATTCGCCTTTACTTCAAAGAAATTTCTTGCTTGGAGGTAAATCCCTGCTTCCGTCTGTGTGGCTGTATGTATATAGCTTCCTTGCTTTGTGCTAATGGGGTTTTCTTGCTGGTGCCAAAGCTGCCCAAGCCACAGCTCTTTTCTAGCCTTCTCCCTTCTGCTTTCCCTTTAGAGCCAGGTCATCTTCCTCTTTGAGTTAGCCCTGCTTGCAAGATCTCAGGGTTATAGCCCTTCCCTTTCTCCTGGGCCCGGTGTTACTGCACATCAGGATCTGGGGTAGGGAAACGTCTTCATCCCGTGTGAGTTTGCTCTGTAGGATATCTGACCGTAGCACATATGGACCCCTTGTGTGCTTTGTGGCTTTGGCTTGTATGTGCTGCAGCTTGGCCTTTAGGCCCCTAACCTGCATGTAGAGTTTCAGCAAGCCTCATGCTACTTTAGGTTTTCTTAGGAGCTACCACCAAAAACATAATAAATAATCTTTTTTTTTGCAAACACTGGGTCAGTCGGCCTGAGAGGATCTGTGAAAGTGGCTGTGGATTTAAGGTTGAGTTTTCCAGAGTGGCTGTTCCACTTTGGCAGTGATACCCTGTGCTTGTACCATCCTGACTTACCCCTGATCTCCATGTGGCCCAAGATCCTGCATAACACCTGTTAGGATTAGCACTGTGGGCTCAATATTCTAGGGGTGTTTGTGTCATTGCATCTTTGTTTATTACCTATCCAAAATTGGTTGAAGTACCTATAAAATGAGAGATTTGCTGGAATATGGAAAGGCCCGTTCTCTACGTTTTTAGTATTTGTCAAAGAGTTACCTTCTCTTGCCTTCAAAAAGTGTTACATGTATTAACCTTAATTTCGGCTGTATTGTAACTTTTCTGGGAGGGAGGCTTGATGTCACCTCCCAGAGTCAATGTTGACTAGAAAGCACCAAACTGACCTCGAGACCCTTCTGATCCTTGTCAGTATGAACAAAAGTCAGAAGTGCTTCTGCTTTCTTCTATTCCTTGTGGCTCTTCCATGGATATGGCTTTGTTTGAGCCAAGGAACAGCAGCTACTGAGACTCAAGAATTCCAAGGAGGCTGGGCGAGGTGGCTCATGCCTGTAATCCTAGCACTTTGGGAGGCTGAGCCGGGCAGATCACGAGGTCAGGAGACCAGCCTGGCCAACATGGTGAAACCCCATCTTTCCCAAAAATATAAAATTAGCCGGGCATAGTGGCCAGCGCCTATAATCTCAGCTACTCGGGGAGGCTGAGGCAGGAGGATTGCTTGAACCCAGGAGGCGAAGGTTGCAGGGAGCCGAGATTGCGCCACTGTACTCCAGCCTGGGCAACAAGACCAAAACACAATCAAAAAAAAAAAAAAAAAAGAATTCCAGGGAAAATGAAGGAAGAAGGAGCCAACATTCATTTTCCTGCGAGTACTCTGAAGATAGGGCTGCTGGTGGTGAGGGGAGTTTTTTTAGGAGTGGCTTAGATCTTTCAGTCAGGTGTTCCTGATTCCTGCTTGCTATTTTTGGCCCAGTTTCCAATGTCCTTCTTCAACTGTTGGGTTTTTCCAGCCTTTCCCTAATCACACTGCTTATGGCCTTTTCCTGCTGCTCCCCTCAGTGTGCTACAAGGCACTGCCTGCCACACAGAGCAGGCAGGTGATGAGCTGCTGTGCTGCAGAGGGCTCCTGCTCTTGTTTATAGCTGACAGTTCACCCCTAAGAAGCGGACAACTTGTTAAACTGAGTTTTTGCTCAGGTCATAAGAGCTCCTTTTAATGAGGCCAACTTGTAGTCGAGTTTTCATAGATGTGGGTTCCCCATATTCTCTGCTTTGAGGAGAAATCTCATAATGCAGTGAGAATCATGGGGCTACCAGGATAAAACTGGGCTCGGAACCATATGAAACACCAATGTCTTTTGTGAAGAAACTCCTCTTTGGATTAGTCCCACTGATTCCTTTTGTGCATCTAGCCTGGAATGGAAAAGGAAAACAGGCCAACTTCCCATAGTGGACTACAGCACTGGAAAAGACTGGCCCAGCTTCTCTGCAGGAGTGGAGGGTGGGTGATTCTCTTTATTCCTTTATCTTAGAGGGGAGACAGGTCAAATTGTGGGGACTTTCCCACGTCTAAATATCATTGTATTTCAACACTGAACTTTAATATATAGGCAAGGACTAGCCCATTCCCTTCTCCTGGCATGGCTAAATCATAGGCCAGTAGCACCAGGTTACCCCAGCTTAATTGCTGGCCTGGCTTTGCATCTGTGATATGTACCACCAAACTGGTAGTCAAAGCAAAGAGCCCAGATTAGCAAGAGGCTGAGCCCCTCCCTAAGTATAGAGAGCTAGTGAGTGCAAGACTGCGAACCTTGCAGGCTTTGGGTGGAGGTAGGGGAAAGTGTAGAATTGCACAGGATTTGCTTTCTGGTATGTGAGATGGGACAAGAGTGGTCTTAAAAGAACTCTTTGTTCCTCTGTCTTTTGAATCTGTTCAGAATTCCCTGTTGGCTATATTAATCTCAGTAATTTCTGTTTTTAGAAACTCCAGTCATATGACACTTTTTACATTTAACTTGTTCTTTCTTTACCTTTAAAAGAAGAAAGTTGTAATATTACCCAGTATGCCTGGAATGCCAGATGGAAAATAGCTGGACTATTCACACCTAGCTTTAGGTAGTAGATTTGCCTTTTGGCCGAGCTCTGGGCCTATGAGAATAAGAGTGATTATATCAAAGATTATGGCCCAGTATTTTATTTCTGCTGGATCCATGTGAAGAAATTTCTTTCTTTTTTTTTTTTTTTTT